AAGAAATGCATGGTGCTGTCAGGTGAGCACTTGTGCCCTCCATGCAAAAAAACAAAAAAAAACTTTGGTGATAAAATGAAGCGTCGTCCTAAAAAAAAAGCACAAAACGGAAGGCTGAACATGAAATTCAAAACCTAAAGAAAAAGGCCATCAGGGCCACTGTGTTTCGCGAAAGAGCTAGAAGAGAAGTGTCTACACTGAGACGCTGTTTGTCTGAAGTTTCAGCGAGCAAAGTTGAAAAAGCAGTGGAAAGTCTTCCGCAAGCACAGCAACTTGCCTTTAGGTCAGCATTGAAAGTCGCAAAGGCGAAATCGCCGCGAGAAAGGCGTTATGAACAGGAATGGCTCATGACTTGTCTTCTATTTAGAATTTCAAGCCCAAGAGCTTATAGACTAATGTCAAAAATGAAGCTCATGCCACTTCCAACAACCACAAGGCTGAGACAAATGATGAAAGGAATGCCATGTGAATTCGGCTTCAACAAGGTATCTCTTGACAGTAATGGGGCCTTTATGAAGAACAAAGCAGGAGTACAATGCTACGGAACGCTAGTACTGGACGAGATGAAGGTGCGAGAGGTTGTCGCATTTAACAAGAGTACTTACAAGGTTGATGGCTTCGTTGATTATGGAGATGGTCATGACTCAAAAACAACAGCCGACCACGCTTTGGTACTCATGTTTGTGCCTTTATTTCACTCCTGGGTGCAACCAATTGCAAGTTTTGCTACGAGACATGCAGCCCCTGGAAGAGTGCTAGCTAGGCTTGTTTTAGAAGCCATTTTGCAGTTACACAAGCACAATACAACAGTCGTCGCTGTTATCAGTGATGGTGCCAGCACCAACAAGGCCATGTGGTCATGTTTTGGTATCAAAGGCAAGCTTCATGAACCGAAACACAGAGTTGACCATTCTTGTGTGCCTGATCAGCAGCTCTACTTCCTGTGCGATGTACCGCTCATCATCAAGTGCATAAGGAACCATCTCATGCGCCACAAGTATGGCATGGTAAGTAGATTAGAATGTTTTTACTTATTTTTCATGCGTGAGCAACTCTGAATTTAGGAGTGGCTTCTGCAATGGAACACCTTTCTTCGTCTCACTGTTGTTTTTAAAAATTGCAGATCGGTGAACACAAAATAAACTTTGACTACTATTGAAGACTCCAAGAAGTAGATGGGAAACAGCAGCTTCGGGTGGTTCTAAAATTGACAAAAGAGCACGTGAGCCCAGACAATCTGCGAAAGATGAACGTGAGTCTGGCTGTACAGGTAAACAAAAATGCCCTATCTACCATATTTAGATGCCTTTCATAGTTGACAACTGCTTGTTTATATGCATAAGTGTTTGTTTATAAAAATAAATACGCAAATTTTTCATATATGTTGTTCTCAGCTTTTCAGCCGAAGCACTGCCATTGGGTTAAAAGTGTACCAGCGGTTAGAGGAGCCTGACCTGAAAGACTGCCATGGAACTGCTCAATTCACCCTCAGGATGAACAACCTGTTCGATGCCCTGAATGTGAAGCTTCCGAAGTTTGGAATAACAAGTTCGTCAAAGGAAGTTGAGGTAATGATAATACTTTACAGCATCTGTTGCACTGTTGTGAAATAGTACAGATAATGCTTCATAACATCTGTTGCATTGTTGTGAAATTAATTTGCTCACTGGCTTATTTTGAAGGTCATCCAGGAGTTTCTTGATGCTGTAAATAAGACTGAGGAAAACCATATCACCAATGGGACAGTGATGTTTGCATCGCAAGTTACAATGGAGTCGCTTCGTGTTATGCTTGCATCAGTACGGGACCTCATAACAGATCTTCTCTCTAAAGGAGCGCGTTATGTGCTCACGGGCAAACTAAACCAGGATCCTTTAGAGGTAAGCCGTTTGTTCTTTTTGTTTATCACGTTTATGTTTGCGCACATTGCTTTTATAAAAAAAAACACGTCTTCCTTTTTTTCAGAGGTTTTTTGGTGTGACAAGAAGTTATGGAGGGGATGAGGATCACCCTACCCTAATCAGCTTTGCACACATATATAGGCTTCTGAGCCTGTTTACACCAATCAGCACTTGTGTCACTGGGAACGTGAGTGATGAGCAGACTTTTGTGCTTGCCACTGTTGCAGACAGCATGAAAAGGGGAAGAAAGGACACACTGTCGTCCCACGAAAGACTCCAGGAGGCTATTCGAGCGAAGTTGGCAGAAATCTCTTCTACTGCACAGAATGAAACACCGACAGCACCTGATCATGGGTACTCCACACCAGCAGCACAGGACTGTGTTATTTACTACTTGTGCGGCTATCTTGTCCACTCTTACCTCAAGCATCAGAGGTGTTCTGACTGTGTACATAATATCCAGTCCGAAAATGCGGAGTGCCCGGAGGCATTTCTCACTTTGGAGAGGGAATTTAAGCACGGGAGCCTCAAATTGCCATCATGGGAGCTCTTCTGTATGTTTCGAGGAATCGAAGCCAAAATTTCGGATGAGCTGCAAAAGAACCGGCTCTGCTCAGAGACATTTTGGAGCCTCCTCGACGCTCTTGAGGACTGCGACATTACTAGTGTGGGCTGTTCTGTTCACAAGGTCACCACTACGGCAGAGCTTCTTCACTCCTACATAGTGCTAAGACTGCATTTCGCTGCCAGAGATACTTGTAAAAGCTTCAGCTCTTCAGAAAAAGTCGCATCTGCTGGAAAGAAAGTGAAGCTGATGTGAAGGCTTGCAGTACAGCTCTGACCACTTAACCCTTGTAAATATGTCCCTGTAAATAATGCAGCTGCTGCTTTCAGTTTCATGACGTCAAATAAAAATTACAAAACAATTTTTTTCTGGCTTCCTTGCTGGTTCTTGATTTTCTAAGCTTTTCAGCGGATTTTGGCCGTGTAACACGTGTTCTGGTAAGGTTAGAATATCGCTGAGCATTACGGGATCCTGGGGTGATTTGCACATATACTGGCCAAAAATAAACGCCGGCTACAACGCGAACAGGAATGAAGGTGAGCGCGCTGTACAGTTTGCCTTTTCTTTTTGTCATGTCTTACGTGCTGTTTGTTTCTAGTTATAATGTTGCGAAAAAAACGAAAAAGCTCTTTTCGGTAAAGGTTAAATGCGAGCGAAGTTTCACTTCTGCTTCTCGAATAAAAGAGTTAACCGCTGCGGTAGTCTCCTGTCGGCGCCTTTCCCGTTGTAGCAGTAGCAGACGACGCGCCGAGATTGATCCTAACGCTACCGCAGTGCCACCGCCTGGTTGGCGATTGCGGTAAGCCGCCCCACGCCAATGGAATGCCGCGCGCTTTGCCAACTGAAGCTATCTAAAAACGTTGACCTCCACTCCAGAAGACATAGTATAGAACCTTCTTGGTCGCAATACATAGAGTTTTAGGTATTATTGTATAAAACTCTATGGTCGCAATGGGTTTCAGACCACTTTTTGTTTTGACTTTCGCGGCCTATTTAGATTTTTACCTTGTACACTCTACCCGTGCGATTTCTCAGCAAAGGCGTTTGTGTCGCCATCTAGACAAAAATTGAGCATTCAACTTTTTTCTAGTTCTTACACACGACACTTGATGACGCGACAACAGTGAGCGATGCGACAGCGCAGTCTCGCGCGATTCGAGATTTCTGGATCGAACGTCACATCAACGCCTCCTAGATTTCTTGTGCCTGCTGGATTATCGGCGGTCACTTGGAAGCGGTGGTCGTCGGAACTACGGTGGTGGCGCTACTCAAGTAGGAGTGTCTTCAAATAAGTTTTTACGTTTTTGGAACTTATATGCAACAAAAATAACGTAAAAAGTTTTTAAAAAGCGTCAACGTATTTATAATTAACCCTAAGTAAGTGACGCCGTCATTCAACAAGCAATTTTTTTAAATACAAGGCATCCTCTGACGTTAGTAGCAAACGCCAAAATTGCCTATCTCAAAGGCCAAGTGCAAAGATACTTGGGTGGATAGATAATTGGATAAATGTGGCTGTACCCTTTATATCGGGTGGTGGCTAACGCCACTTAGCCGTAATACTTAGTGAACTAATGATTAGATTTATCTGCTTTTTTTCCTTTAAAGAGAGAGGTTCAGGATTCGTACTTTGCAGTGAATGGTTTAATTTTCATTCGTGCCTTGACTTTAGCCACCAATCAGATAACCTCCTTCTAGTTAGGTCTACCCGCTTAAAGTCTATTTTGCCCTCCCTGTCCCTAAACGCCAGTGCTTTGAAAAACTCTGCGCCATCATCCTGAACTATAGGGTGAAGCTCTTTACAGAACATTAGCAAATGTTCGGCAGTTTCTCCTTCCTTTCCACACGCACTGCATACCGTGTCTACCCCTTCGTATTTGGCCCGATATGTCTTGGTTCGCAATACTCCCGTGCTGGTCTCAAACAGTAGAGAACTACTCCGAGTATTATCATAGATTCTTTCCTTGGCAATTCCCTGCTTAAAAGTTCGATAGATCTCTAGTGCGGACTTCTTAATTATTCCAATTCTCCACATATCGGTTTCGGCTTCCTTCACCTTCTTCTGAACCGATAGTTCTTTTCGGTTTGGCCACCTGCTGTTTTCTAAGTATTTACCAGTACATTTTCTGGTTCGCTTACTCCATTTTGTATCGACATTCTTCATGTACAAGTAGCTGAAAACCATCCTAGCCCAACGCTCCTCCCCCATTTCTTTCAATCACTTCTCGAATTTTATCTTGCTGCTAGCTTCCCTGCCCTCAAATGATGCCCATCCCATATCACCTTGTACTCCCTGATTTGGTGTATTCCCGTGAGTTCCTGATGCAAGCCTATCTATTCCACGTTGCTTAATTTCTAATCTTGCTTGAACTTCTGATCTCATGCACAAGAACGCATTGCCGAACGTCAGCCCAGGAACCATGACCCCTTTCCAAATAGCGGCGCTGCCTACATACACCTTGTAGGCAGCGCCGCTGTAAATGACGGGCGTTTCGGGCTCATCCTGCAGGCACAAGAAATCTAGGAGGCGGTGGTCACCAACGGTGGTTCTATGACGTCACTATTCGTCAAAATGGCGCCCCACGCTACCATGTGTTCATCCATGCTTCGGCAAATATTTCGGTTTAGCTCCTATGTTTCCCCAAAATCATACGCGCCGTTCTCTTCAAGGTGAGTTGGGTGGTAGAATTTCGCAGTGGGCACAAAGTGCATGGTCACAAAGCTGGTAATTCGCTGATTTTAACGTAGAGATGTGCACGCTGATGCAATTGACTTGGTTCGTACTGCGACCAACGCCGGGTGACTTTCTTGGTGGAGCGAAGTTTATCACTGTGCATGTCTTACGGATTGCCTGAGAGGCGAGTGTCGCTCAGCTGTTAAATCGAGAAGTTCCAGTTTCTTTTTGCGGTGCCAGCAAGCGTGGCCGTAGTTTCAGTCACGTGCTGGAAGTTATCGTTTCCAATCGCTTCACCGGTCTGTGAGGGAGCTTGCATTGGCGTGGCACTAAGAGCACCCCTCGCGTTTATTATTGCGCTCCTATTTGAACAAGGGAAGGCGTCCGTTCGCTAGACGATGCACCACAGGTGCGCAATACGATATCGCCGCCTAATCGTGAATTCAGACTCTTGCGTCGTGTTTCAAAACATATTTATCACAAAACGTGCGATAGCTTTCGATATCGCATTCTTGGCGTCTAATAGTTTACTAACCTATGTGAACGAACGATTTGGAATTAACTACGCCGCAGAATATAAGGGCATGGTATTGCAGCTGTGGGGTAAGAGTGTTACCACTAGTAACACATTAACCCCACCATCAGGAACAGCAGCAGTGGATGAAATCGAGTGTTAGAACTTTCTACACAGTCATGAAAAACAACGGGGTAATAGTGAATTGGAAAAAGACTAGATGGGGGACATTTGTTTCGTATTGCGAAGTGTAGTGACATACTGAATAAATAAAGTGTAGATAGGTTTGGGAAATTCAGTTGTGAGCAGACTGTGGTGACAAATCCTTTGTTTGTTACTTTTGTGGGATTGACTGAAAGCACCTCTTGCCTAAAATGTATAACACTATTAACTCAAATTCAGCACTAATAAAACAGAAATCGAGAATTGAATAAAATCTTGTCTAGTCGTGCAGTGATTTCTGGATAGAAATCAAACTGAAACGCCGACCAAAATCGCGTTACGAAAAAAAAAGTAAATGTATGGGTTTCAGTAAGTGAACAAGGCGTTACAAAAAGAAAAGTAAATGTATGGGTTTCAGTAAGTGAACAAGGCTACTGTATGGAAGCCTGAAACATTAGTTTTTCATGGAAAGCACTCTAGTTGGTGTTATTTTTTAATTTTACCAATTAAAACATTACTGTAAAATCCAAGTTTGTATGTCATGTTGTGAACTTGAGTGTAAAGCAGCTGAAAATTATTTTGAATTGGCAAAAAAAAGTATGCCTAGCTGCATGAATTATACATGCATTTGATTACTTGTAACCAGATATCGAAAAATAGTTGTGTTTTATTGACTTGAGGTAATGCAAACAGCCAAGAAATTGACCTAAGTGCTAGGATCCCTACTTTCATCATAGCTCCACAACTTGCAGTGATTTGACCATTTGTTGTTTTTCAACGACAACAACAAAAAACTCTCGTGCCCAGACTGCTTTCTTGCTCACTGTGCTTTTACCACTTCTATACCAGTGAAGACACGCAAGTGTGACAAAACTTTTTCGCTCAAGAATGACTGTGGTTGTCACACCTTGAACGAACCCTCAGATCACATGGTGGCCGAGACACCTGTTATTTGTAAAGAAGGGAGTGGGGTGAAGGTAAAAACACAATGAGTGAGAAAAGCAGTCTGGGAACCAGACCTTTTGGTTGGAAAACAACTTTGCAGGAAGGCCAGCGTGGAGATTTGCGTAAATGGTCAATTGATAACGCTGTCTTTAACTTTCAGTTAGCACATTCTATTCATTGCAAAAGCACCTGCCCAGTTAGCTCATGCCATTCAATGAAATTTTTTCTACGCTCTGCCACACACCAGTTTGAAAAATGTGTGGGCTTGCATTATCAACCCATATGTGTTAATTTGTTGCATCGTTGTGCAGCAAGAGTCACAATGCCATAAAATGTACGTTGAGGTTAAATTAAGGCACTCATTAATGTCACTACATGTGAAAAGCTGTTGTGCATGCTGTGCTCCTCGACAGACAGTCTCAAGCACTGTAGCAACCACTAAGCGTTGCCCTGCGGGATGAAGTGGGCACTCGCACATCTACAGAGCACCGGACAGCATTGTACACTCCCCCGCAAAATTTTGGGGTATGAAAACGCATGGCCGTGCGCAATCAAAGGAAACCACACTTGCACTGATGTTCTGAGGTGTGGCATTTTCTTGTCTGCGGCAATATTCGGGTGTGCCAATGGAAATGTTTACTGGATTCAGTGATGCTGTGCACTAAGCTTGAGGTGGTATAAGTGCCGTTGGTTTATGCGAGACACAAATGCAACACTTCATTGCCATAGCAGTAGTCTCTGCTGCAAGCAAATTCTGTTTTGTTGCATGGGGAGGGGGTGGGGCAAGTTAGCATAGTCCAAAAAATGTTAGACATGAAGCCATGCTTGTTAATCACTGCCCCTGCATGTGTTTACTCTAATGTGTGGCCGCCTCAGCTGCATGCATTTGTGTTCCCCGCAGTATTTTGTCAAAGACTGAACATTAGTTTCTTTTGTGTGTAGTATAAATTGTGTAGTTTACAGAGTCCCTCCACTGGTTTGGCCATTGGCAAGAGAAAAAGCACGGTGTATTAGATTATTACATGGAGATTGTGTCTAAAAATTGTTATATGCCTGTGCGATGCAAATGTCAGCAAAATGTGAAACAGGACGCCGAGCGTCCTCCTTTTTGCGAGTGCTGTATTTTGATATAGAGAGAGTTGCATTTATACCTGTGTCGCAGACACACCCTGGAATATCCACAGCCAATCTGTTGTAGTAAGCTTGAGCCAGACCGGCTCTAGTATATCCCTGACTATGGCATACAGTCAGGGATGTACTACAGTTGTGTATGTAGAGTGTTCTATGCTGCTACTGCAAGTGTGCTTAAAAGCAAAATAGTAAAGACGAAAAAAAAGGAGGCTAAGTTTGGTCTATCAATATAATATGCTCATTTTCCTCCAGCACTTAGATAGTGCAAGGGAGTGAGTGATTTTCTATTCATTTAAAAAGGAAAGAATCGAAGACAATAATGCAGGAGGGGAAAGGTAGGGAAATGGGGGAGGAGTGCATGATGACTGTCTCAATAAGGACATCTTAATCGGAACACTCGCAGAGTATGGGGATAAGAAACACATTGAGAGAGAATAAGGGAGTATTGCTGATTTCAGGCGCTAGCCTAACAAAAGGGAGAGGGTGTCCACTTTGGCAATAAAACTCACCTCCCAGAGGCATACTAATGGAACAGCTTGATTTCTTTTACCGTGCTCAGTAATGAACCAATTTTTTTAATTTTTGGGGGTAAAACACTCTCCTGGTGGTACCTTATTACTTCTAGTGATTTACCAGTACTTGAAGTGGAACCTGGTAAGGGGCCTTACCAAGTCTTCTGAAATTCCTTTGTGAAGTTCGAATACTGTGGGCGTAGTGTATAATAATAACATTAAGTACCATTGAGTTGCTAGCAATTACTGATGGCATCATAAGCAAATGACAGAAGCACTGAGACCTTTTTAGAGCGAGAGAGGGAAAATTTGTCTACGCGAAATGCTTCTGGATCCAACGTTTCAAGATGTGCACTTTTCTTTTTCAAGGCTGCAGTTGCAGCCTTGAATAATTCGCCTCTTGATATGCCGCCGCCCACAATACCCTGTACTAAAAAATTTTTTAATCCCTTCAAGCTTCTGATTTCCCAGAACTTCTTCCTTAGTCTATTTAAAGTGGTACTAACACAAATTTTCGCGGTTGATTCCCGTGAATATTCGTGTATCATCTGCAAAATATCAGCTGTGAATATGGCTTGAAAGGTATTTCAATTTATTTTTGAAGTTTGCCCGAGCTCTCAACTTCATCATGCCATTGACACCCTCGAAGGGGACCCTTTGGGGAGCCCCTACTTCCCTCCCGCCACCACGCTGCAGTCAATAAAGCAAGTTATGATGACGTCATAGCCGCCATTTTTCTTTAGCCGTTCCCACAGTCTATACTTCTCAGTGGCTGGTTGCAACTGCATGGCCATGGTGTATGCTTTGACTGTTTTGTGTTCGACAACACTGCAGTTCCGTTTTCTATTCGAAAGTAATCTTTGATGCGAACCGTGCTGAAGTGTGCCACAGTTCTTTGTGTCACATGGTCAAGAGCTGCAAACGCTAGGAGGCGATATTTGCACTCGGCTTTTGGAGCTCTCTCAAACTGAAACTGGTCGATAATGAGGACCCTGTAATTAATTATCCGTCGTGTGCTGCAGCAAACGATGTGTCGTGTCATGACTAACAGGCCCACAGCAACATATTGCATCAGAAAAGCGCGAAGCCAAAGTTTTTGTGTCAGTACCCCTTTTACTACAAGTTCTTTAAAATCTCTTTGACGTTTCTCTGAGGCTTCCGAAATGCTGTCTAACCACCTTGTGCATGGGTGGGCTTGTTTTTTCTTTTGCCTTTCATTTCAGCTAGCATTAACTTTTGATTCATCAAACTGATAGCTCACATGATCATGCACTGATTTGCTTTCCAGACTTCTCTTTTCAACAGCCACTACAGCACCCCCTAATGAACAAGAGGCTGAGTCCAAAGAAGAGAAGCCTGCAGCTGATCCTAGTTTAGTTGCTTGTCAAGAAGAAAATCGCAAGCTTCTTGAACAAATCAAGACAATTGACGTAAGTTTGTGCTCATACTGACATTATTATCACAAGCACATTTCTTACTCCCTTGCTGTGATCGTGGTGTGTCGTGCAGCACTAGAAAGAGGCTCCGTCTTGTGATGACCGCTCAGCGCACCACCATAGGGTGCTGCTGGTCACAGGAACACTACACGAGCTGCGTAGATAGCATGGCGAGCGCATTGGCACTGGTTGTCATTGCGAAAGTGGTTGTTGTGATTAATAATAACTGCAATGCTAACTGTGCTCGGCAACAACTTTTCTTGGCAGCTCTGTGAAAGCGACAGCTCTGTGGAAGCTACAGTACTTAAGTTTACTGGCAATTTTCTCATTGGCATTTCTGAAATAAATGCTGCTGTATTAATTATGAGCCTTAAGCATTTGTGGGAAGCCATAGGTAACATACAGTTACTGGTTCACTTTCAAGAATGCCTTCCTTTTTTTCCATTTCTTTGACACCACCGCGTTTTCAGCATGGCTGTTTTCTAACGTAAACATAGTGTCCGTGGCATCAGTGGATCAGTGTGTTCCCACAGATGGGCTGTTTAGTTCTAGAGAAAAATATACTCACAATATGACACTAAAAAGTGCCTATACAATTAAAATATTTTTCCCATTAACATTCTTCGTACATGCAATTTTCTAGACTTGTTAACAATGTGAGAGAGCAAAACCAAAATCAGCCGACAGCTGTTGTACTACTTGCAGAGCAACACGCATGTGTGGATGCCCTGCCTCCGTAGTCTTCACTTCAAAAGATGAGTTGTCACCGAGTATGGTGACCTTCTACAATAGGTAGTCGTAGTTTCCTCACTATAATGAGCATATAGAAGGAAGTGCCTCATCATAATCCAGTGATGATGTTTTTGCCGGTTCAGCCTGGTCTTCTTTATTCAGAAATATCATCAGTAGTAGTTTATGATCAAATGGTGTTGGATGTGCTTTGATGCATTTACTTATTAAGCTTGAACATGTATATTGAATGCATGTGAGTGTTTTTGTACATTTCTGCGTATTTTACAGCTGTTACGTTGCTTTGCAAAAACGAAATTAGTTGGCACACCGCTGTAATGCAGTATAAAAAAAGGGAAAAAATTCTCAGTGCAAAGAAAAAAATTTTATTTATTGCTGCATTGTGTTAGCAGATGCCAAGCAAGAGAAGTGATAAAAAAAAGTGCGTGTTTTAAATATACAAGCGATTCCGTACATGTACGCCTTTGACATTCAAAGGGTTAATGTGAAGTCTGTTAGAAAATTGTCCGACCTTTAGTAGAAGAAAAAAAAAAAAAAACTGGCATAATTGGAGCATTGGAAACCTAATCTCCTTCAATGTAGTCCCCTTGGGACTACACACTCCTCCCAGCGGTGCTGCCATTGTTGGAAGCTTTCTGAGAAGGCCTCTTTCGAAATGGAGTTTAGCTCAGCTGTTGTTGCAGCCATAAATGTCCTTCCTTGTCTGAAATCGTCTTCTTGAGTGTGGGAAACAGCCAGGAGTCGCAGGGGGCCATATCGTGAGAGTAAGGACCCTGTTGAACTTCAGAAGTCTGACTTTTCGCCGAAAAAGGCTGAACCAAGTGGGAGGAATGTGCAGGAGCATCGTCGTGATGGGTGCGCCAGTTTTCCTGTTGACCACAAGTCGGGTCTCTTGTGCCACACAGCATTACATCTGTGGTGCGTACTCGTGGTGTACCACACTACGGGAATCAAAGGAAGCACTCAGCATCACTTTGACGTTGCTGCGCACTTAGCGGGCCTTCTTTGGTCTTGGTGAGATGGAATGCTTCCACTTTGACGACTCAGATTTGGTTTCGGGGTCAAACCCGTACACAGAAGATTCATCACCAGTGATAATGGTCAATCAATCAATCTTTATTGGCATCAGAAATGTAATACAGTAGACTTTCAGTAAACGGAGCGGAAATCTGTTATACAGAACTGCTGTTTAAATGAATCAAGTGCTTCTTACAAGATTGGTTTCATTCTTGTGTTCTGCACACCTGGTCATCTCTCATTAAACGGATCTCCTCTTAAATGGAACATATTTTCTTGGTCCCTTCAGGTTCTGTTTAATGAGAGTCTACTGTACATTGTAAGTAAGTATGCAAGAGGGGGTCCCAAGGTAAGGTAACAAATAGCAGGCGGGACCTCCTTTGTTAACATAAAGGAAAGAAATAAAATGTGAACAACAAAAGAGCAACTTTTTCGTAAGTGTTACAACTAAAAAGGACGTATCGAATTGTTCAGAATAGCATTTTAAGAAAACAAGGCAAGCTATAAAAATAGCAAAATGCAGTGGTTATATATTTATATAAGCAACTTTTTCGTAAGTGTTACAACTAAAAAGGACGTATCGAATTGTTCAGAATAGCATTTTAAGAAAACAAGGCAAGCTATAAAAATAGCAAAATGCAGTGGTTATATATTTAATAAAATTTTTTCAATTTTGTCTTAAAACATTATTGTGGATTATGTCTTTCATATCATGTGATGGAGAATTCCATAATTATATCAATGAAAAAGCAATGCTAATTTTTTATCATTAGTGCTAACTTTAGGTAATAACAGGTTATTGGCAACCGTGAATCTAGTTTTATTGGAATTATTCAACAACACATTAGGAAATATGTCGATAATGATGGTGCGATGGAAAACCTTGAAAAACAAAACACAAACGTTATAATTGTACATTTGGAAGACTGGTAATATGTCAATCTGGAAAAAAATAGGATGTGATGGCAGATGTGTTTATAAAGTTAGGGTCACTGCTTCAGAAATTTTAGTCCTGTCAGATTTCAACGGGAAGTTGCTTTTGCTCCACCGTGAGCAGTTTCCGCATGAATTTCGCCGCAACTTTCTTCATGGCCAAATCTTCGGTCATAATGGAATGGGCTGATGCCCATTCCTTTTGCAATTTTCCGGATAGTCACTAGACGGTCTTGCATCACCATAGTGTTCACTTCGGCAATGACCTGGTAATTTCGGCATGTTGATGGCCACCTGGAGTGTGGCTCGCTCTCCACCGATGTGTGGCTGACCTTAAACCGGTTGTACCACTCCTTTATCTGTGTGCGGCTCATAGCATCTTCACCGAAAGCCGTCTTGATCTTCCGAATGGTTTCCACTTGGCTGTCCCCCAGTTTCTGGCGAAATTTCGTGCAGTAGCGCTGCTCCAGTCACTTCTTCATTCTCCTTGCAATGAAAAACCGATGAGAGCACTACGCACTACCTCACTCAAATGATGCATCCCAGCGACTGTTGCTATTGGCAGGCGGGAAAAAAATTTATGCATGCATGAAAGTTTACGATTGGCTAATGCAAGCACGCTTGTTTCAAATCCATCAGCTGCTCGCAAAAAAAAAAAAGTCGGATACTTTTCTAACAGATCTCGTATGTACACTGTCATTATTTACGAAAGGGAACATGCAATCGCGTGACTTGCTCTCTACAGTGGCTGCCTGCAGTGCTTGTCCAGTGGCCATAACTCGTTTTATTTGCCAATAGATGATGCCAAAAGCCTAGTCTTTTCTTTTTCTGTGTGTTGGTGATTGTCCTGTAGGCAGCCGCCGCAGAGCCCAGGCCATGCGCACACGTGTTCTCTTTCATAAAGGACGACATTGTACAGGAAATACTAGCATGTGTGAAGCACTGGCATGGTCGTATGGTAGAGCACCAACATGGGGGTGGGCATTGTCGTACCTCCTAGTGGGACTTCAAGTCAAAGGGAACTTCGCTGGCTTGGCCATTCTGTTCTTGGAGATAGTGCGTTTCTTTGCTTGTATGCTTTTGTTCCCTTTACAGTGCTGTGAGTTTGCATTGTGAAATTTTAATGCAGGGGCAATGAGCTACATTTCGCTTGCCAACAACAGTTAACAGGAAATGCATATAAGAGGGAGTAAAGTGCCCGTGCTTGCGGTGATAAATACTGACAACATGCGAACGAATTGACACTGGACATTTGACTAGATTGATAACTTGCCACGAATGTTGGTCAAGTTAGTATGCATGTGTCAGCCATGACAACATGGCAATTCAGCTCTTTGACAAGCAAGCCCAGTAATTCACATTTCTAAGGCAAAAAAAAAAAAAAAAACTCTAGAAGGGTAGAAAGACGGTATAGTGTTTTCTTAAGTGCCTTCAGGCGTCTTGAAGTAAAGAAGTGCAAATTTAAGGGCTCGTTTTCTTTGTTATAAACAATCATAATGAGAACTAATAGACAATGATGCGAAGAACATCATTGCAGAAAGTGTGGAGTACTCGCTGAAAGGGCTACAGGCAGCGCTGACTGACACTCCCTCATTTAAATGCACATACTGTATAGGTATCCTATAAAGTGGATGAGGGTATGACCGCCAGTGTAGCTCGGGGCATCGAGCGTGTTATTCGAAGTTCGCTGGTTCGGATCCTGCCAGTGGCAAGTTATCTTTTTGTCCATTTTTTTTTTCACCTTTACATCTAATAACTTCTCTTGGCATCACTGTCTGTTCTCTATAATTAATGTTCCTTGTCACATGGGCACACATGAACTCCCCTTCTATAGTGGTTCAATAGACTTCCTAACGAAGTTCTGCCACAATGTATTCGGGGCAGTGTCACATGGAAATAAGATTGCAGCAGCAGCAGCTGGTAAGGGCTCATTCTGCGCTGTTTTGATTTTTGTACAAGCACTGTGGTTAGAACTCTAACGAAACACAGTTTGACTAATTTCTCGATCTAAGAGAAAAATATTGTTTAATGTTGTCACCATTTGACTAAGTTATCTTGCTACTGAAACCAGTTTAATAGTTTTTCCACAGATCAGCCAGCCAGGGAACTTGGCCATGCTCTGGAAAGAGTGTGGATGCAGGGCCTTGTTTGAACAGACGTATGTCTTGTTTCTCGCACAAAAACAGCAGGAGAGAGTAATTTCGATAGCATTGCAGTGGGAGAATACGGCGCATGCGTAAGCATTCAAGCTGTCTCGCTAAGTAAAGTTGATATTGATTTACAGGGTATACATATATACAGGGTGCTTCTTTATTTTTTTCTTTTAGGCAAAACAGATTTTTCAAATATGATGTGAAACACAGTGAACACACTGGTTCTTATTTATGTTTGCCTGAAGGCCTGGAGGGGAGCAATGCAGGCTTCAGAACTGAACATGACAGGCACGTCACAGACGTTTAGTGACATAAGGAAACCCAAGTCTATTATTTGGTGCTTCACAATTTTATAACATCATCTCTGACATGTTGAAATGAGCTACACAAAAATCAAAGGAAGGCTCGAGCACCAAAGAATGTCAATTTCATTTCGTGTAGTGTTGTCACATATTTTCACGTAATTCTTGTTGCACAAGATTCCGCAGGCGACATTTCTGTTTTAATTAAATGTTGCATGAACTTCTCCATGTTTACCTGCACTGAGATCTTAGCACTTGTGCAGTGTTTGATAAAGGTGAAATGCAAAAACACGTCCGCACTTTCAGGGTGGAAGGCCTGCTTCATTTGCACCATGTGGTGCAATGCGAGTTTTGCTTCGTTATCCGGTAGTCTTTGATCACTATCTACATGTTGAGTGGAAATGTCTTGCCGCAGTCAAAATTGTTTTGAATCATCAAATGCTCGTTACTTCATACTTAATGACTATAGGTTAATTTCTATAAAGTAGTTGTAGTCAGTGACAATTTGTTTTACCCAATTTTTTGTGAATCACCAAATTACCACATAATTAGAGATATCCATTGAATTTTAATGGCAATATCAAAACTGGCTGCACCGGTTTGCAAGAAAATGCAGCTTCTCTGTCACATCTGTCCGGAATTTCCCGTGACAGGGGAGTGATGAAATTTGAAGGTGCATTGTGGCCATATCTCATCACAGAAAGTGGCAAGTCATTTTATCTGCACCAGTGGACTGCCCTCCTTCGTGTGCGGTGCTTAATGCTTATCTATTTCTTTTGGTGGACGCCCAAGGAAACTGCACTTTTCGCCTTTTCTTTCACAGCGCCTTTTTGGCCTTTTCTTTCGCCTTTTCCTTCAAAATTAAGAGGCAGCCACCGAAGCCCTTCTTATATGCAGACGAAGTTTTTTGTGTCTATATATTGTTAAAAAAAAGTTTAGTATCACACATTGCACTGTTGCCAATTTTCCATTTCATAACCCTTTGTCCACCTTGTGGGATTCTATAAAACTGATTTGCCTTAATCAGACTCCTTTTGAATGTCGTATGTTCATATTGGAAAGTGTTAATTTAAGGGCTCGTTTTTTTATGAGGCAATATTAATGAGAACACACAAACAAAAATGCTTAGGAAGTATAGGGGAAGTTATTAGAAGTAATTGTTATGTAAATATGAAGAAAAAAAAGTGGATGAAATTGTAACTTGCAACCGGCAGGATTTGATCCCGCGACCTTCGAATAATATGTCTGATGCTCTATCACTGAGCTACCGTGGCTGTCATCACCCCTCCCCTCGCCCACTTTATAGGGGATATATGTGCATTTAAACGTGGGGAGTGTCAGTCAGCACCATCTGTTGCCATTGTGGTGAGTGTTGAACGCTCTTTTTTTGCCTGCGCATCACTGCACAATCTTTTGGCTTATGCAAAATATTTGTGTAGCGCAACGTTTTGATCATTCAGTCTGCTGTGGCAGATGATGCAGCATGTTTTTATTTCTTGTGCAGGACAAGTACAAGCGCTCACTGGCAGAGAATGAGAACTTGCGTGTGCGAATGCAGAAGCAGATTGAAGAGGCCCGTGTATTTGGCATTCAGAAGTTCTGCAAGGACCTGCTAGATGTTGCCGATGTGCTTAGTAGTGCCCTTTCAAGTGTTCCCAAGGAAGCAATTACCCCTGACAACCCCCACTTGCAAAGCCTTTACACTGGCCTTGACATGACGCAGGCACAACTGCAGACAGTGTTCCGGCGCCATGGACTAACACAACTCAATCCTGTTGGAATGAAATTTGATCCCAATGAGCATCAGGCCGTATTTGTGCACCGTGACGAAAGCAAAGAGCCCGGTACAGTAGCCGTAGTTTCTAAAATTGGCTACAAGCTCAAAGACCGCACCATTCGTCCAGCCATGGTTGGTGTGGTTGAGCGAACCTGATAGAACTGGACTTGCGAATTTAGTCCGGCACTGACGTGTAGCCTGGGCTGCAATCTTCTTGGCCATTGAGCTCAGGTTAGGAAAGGAGCAGCTACGTTCTAGTGCTGCTGTAAAACTACAACGAGCATGAGAGGCAGGCAGGCTGTGGTTGTTGGATTTAGATCATTCCGATTGTGAGGGCACTTTATATACAAGCAGGAGCGCTAAAGATGGCCATTTTTCAGTGCTTGCTACAATTGTTTGCTTCTTCAAGGCCTTGTTGCCAGAGGCAAGAGCCAGCCTGCGTTGAACACAGGTAGTCGCTGGGAGGTGAACAATGACTTGTGCAGATCGTCCATAAGTGGTTTTAATCCTGCTGCATTTCACAGTTCTGTGCCATTCAGGGCAGGCAAAAGGCACTTTCTGATGGATTTAGTGTGTTGCCAAGAAGCTTGCAGCCCTACTCGTAGCCAGGCATGTGTATAATAGCATGCTTGTTTTAGAAATTGGGGTGCAGGCTGCCGAATGTTAAGTGACTGTGGCATTGAAGTGTGGCTGTAATAAATTTAACTTTGTTACTAGCTTCTGTGCTACATCTTTTTCAAAATTTTTACAGTGCTTTGCGTTTCTTTAACTCGTCAACTTGTGCACTGTGCACATAGGATGGATGGGTTTGTAACCTCGACATTTTGAAAGATGCGCTGCACAGTGGTGTAGGCACAGCAGAAGGTTGAGCAGGTTTGAACCCTCTGCCACCTGTTACCAAAAGATCTGAAATTGTCGGCATGTGACCAGTAGGGAAATGGACTGAGACTAGCATCGAAAAGGAGACTCTACTATGAGACCAGCATCGCTGTCAAAACTTTCCTCTTTTGGTATGTGTAAATTAACGCGAAGCACACTTGGCCTATGCCACTGTCTAAGTGGGGTTCATTCCTTACGTACTCCCATGCACACATCAAGAATAAACATACTGATATACTACAAACATACTTCATCTCACAAGCTGGTTACAGCACTACGAAGGCTAGGCCAATTTCAACCAATCACAAAGTGGAGCTCCTCCGCTCTGTATTAATCCGTGCACATTATTAGCTGTAGCCTTATCGGTTGAGTGCCCACATCGCGACAACGTTCACGTCTCAGTGGACCGAAGTTCGAAATCCGGTTGGGTGAAGAGAAAATTTTTAAAACTTTTTTTTAATGTTAACCTGTTACTGCTGTCTCATGCCAAGTGGACCACATTGCAGTGTTCAAGAAGTGGGTTTGTTCATTTGGGTTTTTAGAAGGTGTCCGTTACTGGCATTGCTCCTCGCGGAATCCGAAAAAAAAAAAAACATCTGAAGGTCGCCGGTTTACATGGAGTATTTTGTCGTTTTAAAGCACTGCTGTTTATGGTTAACACCTCGGGATTTTTTCATGACGACGTATGCCAGAATGCGATATCCAAAAAAGCACGCATGGTGACATAATTCCTGAATGTCTGTACCTGCGAAGTGCCCTTGACGCAGAGGTTTATAACTATGGTCTCACCCAAATCATGCGACTCTTGACTGCTCAGACGCCCAAGCCACTGTGGGGATGTTTATAGCAGGCATTATAGTGAATAATTATCCTTTACAGTCAAACAAATAGCATGATGCCGCCACTGATTTTTTTCCACAATCTACACTAAGTCAGCATAAAACGAACAAAGCTGAATCGTCGGCATGCGTCTTTATTGTACCATCAGGTTTGTTTTTCACGCATCGTCATGTCGCTACATAAACAAATAGAAAGAGACACAAGAGAATACGACAGTTTCCTAACATTCACACAAACATGGCACATTTCTTAGCACACTTTAACGTTCTGTGCATAGTTGCCGCCGACATGGATGGCAACTCTCCGTCCTTTTCAAAGTGGCGCATAAGCTTGGCGACAGTGGGCATCTCGTTTCCGTGAAAGAAACTATGCACCGTCCTTCGCAGCACTATCAGGTCAAAGTTGCCTAGCTTCTTTTTGCGTTGGCGTCCTTTCCCAGAACAACACTTCTTTGCCAACACTCTGCCTGCGTTCTCTTTCTCAAACGCCCACTCGTACAGCATCCACTCACTCACCTTTCTTTGTTAGGTGTGCAGTCCTTTTAACTAGAAAATTTATGCTGGCTCTTTTTCAGCACTCATTCCGAAGCATTTCGACGATGGTTAACGACGCTAGAGTTTTCGTCTCTTTTGGATAAAATTGAACTTTCAAAGAAAGGAATGAACTAGACGCTACTACACTGGAGAAAACCACGTTTTCTAAGGACGGCACACTCTTTTTCAGAGCCTCGCATAGCATTTCTGACCTGCGTTTGTTTGATAGATATCTGGGGTCTAACGTCTCAGAACGACCATATGGTTATGAGAAACGCCGTAGTGGAGGGCTCCGGAAATTGTGACCACGTGGGGTTCTTTAACTTGCACCGAAATCTTAGCACACGAGCCTACAGCATTTTCGCCTCCATTAAAAATGCAGCCCTCGCAGCCAGGATTCGATCCCGTGACCTGCAGGTCAGCAGCCGAGTACCTTAGCCACTATACCACTGCAACAGGGCGACATGTGTTTGTTTGCCCGCATGCAATAAAGATCCGATTGCTTTTTCAAGAATGCTATTAAATCAGAGCACAGTGAATAGATTTCTGGCATACTTTCAACATGATCAGTGAATGTGCAAGGAACTATTTAATTGATGACATTGGCAAAAAGTAAATACAAATTGCAATACTAAAGCAGAGATCCTTGAAATAATCACAGCGAAGGACTTCTAATTGGTTTCAAATTATCGGAGCGTGCAGAAAAGCAGCTATTGTAGTTATTAGACCAACAAAAATGCACGCCCAATGAGCGTACTAGTATGCAGTGCGCTGGGATACTGCTACCGTGCATCACGTAGTTTCCGCAGAGCTATAACCAGCTTGCCAGATGGAGTATAGCATCACACCTGTTAGCCAGGCTTGGCTGCTGAAGTAATTTCTATTGCAATTTTCTTCACAGTACTGTCTCCCCAAGCGAAAATTCTTATACAGGTCTGCATCAGTCTGACAGTTCTTAACAATTGTACCAGTCTGTATGAGTACTGATAAAAGTACTAGTTCAATAAGACATACCTTATCAGTAGTACCAGTCTTGTATAAGGCTCGTTCTATGGTGTGTAAAGTCTTTAGGTTTTCAGCACAGGCTTTCACGAATAGTGAATCATAAGTTGAAAGTGAATAGTGATTTTGGTTGAATAATTTCGAATTGAATTCAAATGGTGTAAGAGGGGTGTTCGAAAAGAATACATACTTTTCTACAGCACATTTACAGTGTGTGGTACAACCTTTTAAGCATTTCTCCCATGTAACTACTCCCCTCTACTAGCAATACACGGTTACCATCGTTTCTTCCATTTTTTTTTTTTTGAAAGCCTCCTGGAATGCACCTTTCAGGATGGTCCGCAGGTCTTTTCTCGCATTGTCCTGGATCTCCTCTATGGTTTGGAAGTGGCATCCTTTCAATGTGGTTTTATGTTCAGGATAAAAGAAATTCAAAAAAAGTTTCATGGCATTATCCCATGCTATAATATCCACTTCGTCAGCAACTTCTCAAACAGTCAAACGAAGATTCCTTCGAATTGCAGCACGAAGTCTCGACGTAGTCGTTATCTCCTGTTGGGGAAAGTCGTCCAGGCTTTGAACCATCACCGACCGACATTCCACCATGTTTTTCGCTTGGGAACCACTCGCAGCACTGTGTGCGACTCGTACAGTCTTTACCGAATGCTTGGCTAAGCAACTGAAATGTCTCTTTGAAAGTTTTCCCCAAGTTTGTAGCACAACTTCACACACACGTTCTTCCAGCTCTCATTGTCACTTTGGTGCAAACACGAAGAACAGCTTGTGCTCACTTTAATGGCTGTAGCTCTTGGACTGGCAGTCTCAGCGAATGGTGGGAAATGAGGCTCTTGTTTAAGGTTGCTGCTACATACGGTTAGTAACGACAGTGCACCTACATGTCCCTCTGATGGTTGGTGCTTCGTTATACAAGTTGCTTCTTTTTAAACGCACCTCATATATCGCATATTAAAAAGAATAATGAGCATATTTCTTATGACTCAACTGGCAGAACATTTAAAAAAAATTAAACAAGACCTCCGCAAACGCCATGCTATTTGCTTCAAAGAAACTGGCAACAACTATGACTAGTAGCAAAATTTGACTTCCAGTAGAATGTAAGTGATAACCTGTAAAACGCGTAGTAAAGTTTTAAAATTTGCTATGCTTGAAGCATATACGGTGGTAAAACAAGCTTGTGAACTTAAAAAATGATGAATCAATGCGAGGGTAATGTTTTCATTTCACCTTGAAGTAGAAATTTGTAGCAGTGCAAATTTCTTTCGTATAAATGTTTTCATGACATAGCACTCCTTTATTGCAGCAAAACTACCTTTACAGATGGTTGCATGCAGATATTTGTTCATTTAGAATGCTTTGAAAATTTCAGTAACAAATTCAAATCTTAACACATTCCAATACAGCAATATTCGTGCAAATATTCTAATGAATAGTGTGACAATGAAAAGCATGACCTAATTTTACACCAAAAGAGAAGCACTAAAATTCAATGGATGAATGCGGTGGTCACAGTTATTTCAACGAGGACTAGGCATTATGCTCATTTCAAAACTCCACTCGAAAGCTGCGGTATTTTTCCTACTAGTGACAACCGAAGAGAAGATTTATCTGCGCATTGCAGGTTGCACGAAAAACTATAACTTGTTATAACTTGTTATCGAAAAGAATGGCATTCACACATGCCTTGTTCTAATTTATATATATATATATATATATATATATATATATACAATTTGTGAGCATTATTTGTACACTTCATCTTATCACCTGTAAACACTGTTCACCGCTGGGATTTGAGCAGGGTTCAGGCTCGAGTGTCAATAAAAATTAGGAAAAAATTTTGCTGCCTGAACATTATATATATATATATATGTATATAATTTTCTTCATAGTGCACTACACATACTAATAGATTCAAAATTATCTGATCAAATCACAGTTTTCTTTGAACCTAAAATTGACTATTCAGACTTGTCCAGTCATGTTATGTAAAATCTAACCTCTGAACCAATATGCGTGTAAGAGACATTTTGCTTGAACTATTGGCATCATGACAGTGTCACGTACAGTCGAATCCCTTTACGAGACAGTGATGTTACAGACTGCTAGGTTTAAGACACAATTGTTGCATGGTGCATGTCTTCTAAGGGCGTATTCACTACTAGTTGCATGACAAGGTAGAAGCAGGTGGTTTCAGCCTCTGAATACCTTGAAACTTCTGTTTAGTGCAATCTTTTTAAATAAACACTTCATAATTTCATATCTATAAGGCACTGAGTTGTTTCAAACTTGAACATAATGAAGCATGTTTAGCCACGATTTACATAGGTGTCCGCTTTACTGATGCCCTTAAGACTACAGTGGGTGCCAATAGTAAGATGGCTGAATCACATTTTAGGATACAGCGCAATACAAGAACGTGAAATGAATAAAAAAAAAAGATACAGAGAATAGAAGCATATCAACATCGGGAAGAAGTGTTAAAAATGAATATCAAAAGTTACATAGCGCATCACTTGACAGCACATGTGCTGACAAAATATGCAAATGAACACATGCGGCAAACTCTTTCCACGAGATATACTGATGCCTCACCGAGGCATGCTTCATCCACAAGTTTAACATGGAAAGCTTCTATCACTCCCCCGTTATCTGCGATATATCTTTTGACAAATCTCTGTATAGGCAAAGACAAGTGAACAGCCACATAATAATAATCGTTGGGGTATAACGTCCTAAAACCACCGTATGATTATAAGATACACTGAAGTGCAGGGCTCCGGTAATTTCGACCGCCTGGGGTTCTTTAACGCGCGAACAGCCACATGTGCTGCAGAGTGATGCCAGATGCAAAGTGTTCAGATTTCAGAGTAAATTTCTCTGCTCTTTTAAGCGCACAATAATGCATCGGCCACTCTGTCCCACGTACGACGGCCCACGTGCAAGAGGGATATGGTAAAAAAATACCGTGCTTGCAGGGCACAAACGTGGAAACATGATTCATTCCACAGTCACTTATTTCCCAGTCATTTTGCTCCATTTTCCTCCTTGCCATTGAACAAATTCTAGAAGTTTTTCAGGAGCCGAGAAGCCCTATACCTGTGACCGACATTGCTCAAACTGTGCTACAGTTTGTGTACATATGGTAGTACAGCTACTGTTTTGTAGTCTTCCTGTGTGAACTTCTTTCTGTTAAGGTCTTTACTTTTAACGAATTTAATTAGTTTTTCTGTACAGATAGCTAGCACATGTGATGGCTACCTGGCACTTTCCAGCCTCGTAATCTGTGCTGTGAAGCTATGCTCAACGCCGCAAGCACAAGACTTGGTTACAGCTGATCCTAAGGCCAAGTAAACTATTTCATTTTTCACTATCTTTGAATTATTCAAACCAAAAGGGAAGACAGGTTTCTGGGACCTCGGAGGGCAGCGCCAAGATACCCGATTAGGCTGAAACGAAAAGCTCAAATCCAAGGACTGTAAAATTCCTTACCTTAATCAGTTCCAATGGGAAATCAAGGCCATTCCCATATTTTCAGAAACATTATGTCTGTTACCCTTCTGTTATAATCACTACAAGAAAAAAATGCCAAATAATCTACATAACAAAACACACTCCTTGCTAAATCCTTGAAGTGATTTTGATGTTTTCTATTTACGCAGCTTAAACACATGTTGCCGAGAACAGGAGCAACTCTGGAGCCTATATAGACACCACATTTTTGAACGTACACTGCATCCTCCCATTTCGCAAAAGTATTCAACAGATAAAACAAAATGGTTCAAGGAAGGACTCCACTGACATACTGCATCTTTGTGTAAATAAAAACTCGCGATTGCATTCAGTTACCACTTTAACAAGCCGAACTGCCACACAGAGTCACAGAAGGAGTAAAGATGCGGTATGTCAGTGCGATCCCTCGGAAAACAAAAATGTGAACTTCCTGCCAGTTTACCGAGCCGGGAGACAATCTCGGTGGCAGGCGCTGTATTTCGATAGAGGTGAAATGCAAGGATGCCCGAGTATTGCCTTACGCCAATCATTGTTAAAGAACCCTGTGTAGATAAAATGATCCATGTCCCTTTCCTACATGTCCTTTACAGGCAAAATGGCTATGGAGAGTTGTGCGCCATAAACCAATCCTGAGAAGTATGCTACACTGCATGTACTACTTTTAGGATCATTGCACTGAAAAGGTGACAACTCTGTTGTCTCGCATGGAAACCTTGCGACAAGCTGCAGTGAGTGAAGTGCGCATTGACACAATGCTATTGCAGGTCACTCTGGTGTTACAAGCTAGTGCACAGACGGCTTGTGTGCACCTTGCAACAAAGCAGGCCCAGCATTCTCTTGCCATTTGGGAGGTGACAACACACTACCTTTAAGCCTCTATGTGCCTGCGCTATTTTGCTTCAATTTTCAGGTGTGCTGCATGTACTGGAACTACACCAAGTGTGGCCACAGAGCACTGCATTTTTTCTAAAAAAGGACTACCCTGTACATTGCTGATGGTCTGAGAGCATATCAGCCATTGTCAACTTCAGTGGAAAAACAATTCTCGAAGCAAGGAAACAAAATGTTTATCAAGACCATGTCACATATACTCCATGTTTACTTTACAAGATTGCCGTACTCTTGAGTATTTATATTTCCTTTTATTTTGACCATCAGTGACAAAAAAAAAAGCTGCAAGCACCATAAATTAAGTCCTAAGATTGCAGATGAACTTTGTTATGAATCGTAGGTACCCCCCCCCCCCGATAGTAATTAACAAAGTAATAAAAATCTATAATCTGATGTTATTCTTGTACAGAAATTAATCACTTTCTCTAAATTCATTGTCAGCATCCAAAATTAGCGTAAAGAAATGCATACTGAAAATCAAGTTCTGATGCTCTGTGTATCAAAATGCAATATTACTTCAAGGCAAACAGTAATGAAAGCTTTTGGATCAAATTTTACCACCAGTGATGCCTTGAAGGGTCCCTGCAATGCTTTTCCAAGTAACTATCACATGCTTTCATTAATGAAGCTTATTGCCTTCCAAATTGACCGCTACAAAATTTAAGAATTTGTCAAGTATGATAGGAGATTTGGCGCATGCTCTAACTACGTTCTGTTGTCCCGACAAGCAAGCTGGAAGCTATGCAAAGAGAGATGGCACGAGTGAAAGAAGCAAAATCCGAAATACCCAGCTGAAACAAACCTTTGTGGCAATGCATTGTTTTTTAGGACAATTAAACAGTGGAATAAGCAAACTGAAAACGACGTGCATAGTGGGAATGAAGATTCATTTCAATAGGTTGTATTATGCATGCGAACAAATTTGTCATTATTGTAACCCCTCTTCAAGTGCTGTGGGGTGTAAAACACACATCAAAGACTTTTTTTTATCCATCATACGCACAGCTTACAGCTCAGTGCGATCGCACGTGTGCGTGAGCACATAATTGCCTCTTGTGGTGGCTATGGCAATCATGCAGCTCACAGTGTTCAAATCAGCCAATCAACATGACTTTGCGTACAAGACAGTTACTTCGGTATATAACATCATTTGTGAAAAGAGAAAACGATTTCTAGCTGACTGAAAATTGTGAATTCCAGGCAACAAGCTATGCATTTTTTGGCTCGCGTGTTCTCATCAGCAATCAATCGTGTTGACCAACCATGCTGGAAAAGTGTTACACGGCCTCTTTAAAGGGCCAGAAAACAACCACAGAGGTCCGAAAATTGTTAAGGGAAATATGTGCACTTTTGTTATGTGAACATGCTGCCACAGAAATTTTGTGAATGCGTTGCAAGGGTTCGAACATTTGTTTCATTTGACAGAGAAGGGCGGCCTCGCCCACAATCGCGACTCTGCCCACTTCGGCAACATGACATTAGGTCAGTAATAAAGCATCAGCGCGCAGCCAATGACCGAGCAAGGCCTCCTTGACATGAGCGAGTGTCATAGCAGAGCAGGGAAAAAACGCAGTTTGATGAGCACCCCTCCTTCATCAGTTGAGTAGCGTGATGCCTCATTATCCCAGAGGCTTTCGTTCTAGAAATACCGTTTATCCTGGTAGTCTTGGACTACAAAATGGCAGAGGGCAGCACAGAAAAAAAAAAAATAAATGTGCACTGCGCAGTCAACACTGCATCACCACAGGTTCAAGGTGCCGTTCGTAGGGCAAAGGACCAATCGACGAGCTCAGCGGTATGTAAAGTTGCCCGTGGGCACAACTTTTATCTCTGTGCGCGAATGAGAAGGTCAGGCAAAGGAAACAGGCGCGGGATTGCTTTTCGAAATGGACAGTCTATGTGCGCACAATCCTGTAATACTTGAAAAATCTGATCACTGTGGTCTACTGTACAAGTTGGGGAGCTTGTTTGCAGGTCGTAAAAAAGTCAAAGCCTGTTTACTGACCCTTTAAGATGCATTAAATTGAAGTACGCGGCTGTTTTTGCATTTCGTTTTGATCAGAATGCCGCATCTGTGGTGTAAATTGAACCAGTGACCTTGTTTCTAACAGCACACAGCATCGCTTTCACAACTCCTGCGTCAACTTTGAGGTCAGTTTCCACAAGCGGCTTTTTGTGAAGTTTTGGTATATTGAGGCAACAGCTGGAAATGTGAACCGGTCTACAGGTGCGCTGCCAGTGAGTACTATAATAGACTATGGCACAATGGTGAAAACAAGCGTGACCCCCTCCCCTCCTAGACTTGTGGAGAAGGTGTAAACTATTGCTTCTTGGTGCCTCTCAGTCACCCCTAAAGGACCCAAGTTGGACCAGAAATGTCTGGATTTGAATTTACAGGTTGGTGTCCCTTTTTCAGTGTTCTAACCACAACCTCACTTATTATACATGTCACTGGTACACTTTTCTCAGACACGCTCACACAAGTGTATCCACTCGCATATTGTTTTTTTTTTTTAAATTTAGTTTTCAGCAACCCACTTCCTGACAAAAACCCTTGATGGGGCATTAGAGTACTGCATCTTCATATCTTCATGACACAGTCTGCAACTAATCTCCGTATTGAAACACAAAGCAAACAGAGCTGGCATAGCAAGGTACTACACAAGAAAAGTTTTTATGTTTTCTCAGCATGATGTTGTGTCTTCTTGTGCGCTGCAGGCACTCTGCAGTGTACTGACAAGGTCCATCCAGTACTGCAAAGATGAATGCATTCATACTTCATTAGACAGGGAATAACAATGAAAAACTTTATGCAATTGAAAAAAAAAAAGACAAAATTGAAGGGCAGAATTTTATAGAAACAACTAACGATAATACAGAAGACATTATAGGCAACATTAAGACAAGCTAGAACAATGCAGAAGCTAAGTGCGACATTGCCACACCAAGTGCGCTGTGCTGAACTGCTCGAGGTATGTGGACAGCCATTCTTCGTGTGTATGCCCATACACAGTTAAACCCCTCCATCTGCAATAATCTCGTTGAGAATGAAATTAAGAAATACATGCAAAAATTGAATTCCTTGCAAATAACAATGAAAAATGTGCCCAAGACCTAAATACTTCAAAACATCTTAGCAAAGTTTTGTTGCGACACAGTTGCACATACAACACTGATGTCTGCACTTGTGACAGCAAATTATTATTTTTTAACATGGCTACAGCAAATTGTAATAGCACAGCTGCTAGTGCACCACAGATGTAACTCATCAATTTGAGATTAATATCACACCTGCTGCTCATTTATTTCATAACTATCATTTCTCTTTATTATATGATTACTTTGCATCAAATAATTACCTACAATATCCCTGTGCTTTCTTTTTCTTGATTACCTACTCACTTCATGTGGCCAAACAATAAGCGACATACAAATTGTTGAGAAAAGGGATACACAAATTGTTGTACACACTAGTACTACCTGTACGAAAACAAGAAAAGAAAAAGTGAACTTGTATTACTTCAATTACACTACACACTGCAAAATATGCTTTTTTTTTATATAGGCAAGATTCAAAGCAAGCTAAATCGGCAAAAAGCACACAAGCACATCAGCTGGTCTTGAAGTTTGGTTCTCATGTGTAACTAACATTGTGTGATTAACTGTGCGAACAATGAATGCTCAACAGAGACTGCGAAAAACTCTAATACACCTTCAAGATTGATGAAACTTATAACGCACACTCATTTTAGCGCACTGTCTTGCAGGATTTTCTGCCGATTCTGTAATGCTGTCTTTCTTGATTTTCTGAAGCAATTTCCTGTATCAGTGGTGTCAATACATGAATGACCTCTTAGCAGACATTGATTGCTAACGACCTAAACAAGTAAGCAGAGGCCAGTTACTTCAATGGTAAATAAGATGGGAGGGGGAGTCAGTGGCAGTGGAGCCCCACCAACATGACATTTGTGGGACCCTAAAGTTCGTAAAATTTTGTCAGCATATAGGCTACATCATTATCAAATAATTTCCACCAAAAGTTAGGCAGTGCACTAAGCTTGCATCATGACAGCTACAGGCAATAGATGGATAGCAAAATGGTGCATTTTCTGCTAGAGTACTTCTGGTTCTAAACCTATCCCTTCGCTGCTTCAAGGTGTCCACTGCGCAGAGTAACAGGGGAGAAAACACATGAAGTTCTGTGACGCTTTTGTTGTGACTTGTTCAGTAATTATATTCTGGTTCTTTTTTTTTACTTGTGAATGAATAAACAATATTCCACCCATTTCAGAAAATGAAACGAAAACGCCAGGCCTGCACGGCGAAGGCACAGCACAGTCACGGTGAAGGCGCAGCACAGTCACAGCGAAACATAGAAAAGCGGCCTTTTACAGCCTTTTCTAAACACTCATTGGGTGACTGCTCCCTGGGCACCCACTACTGCATTAATAATAATAATCTCTAGGTAGTAGACCAGTATTCGCTATGCTATTTTTCGTCATCCTTCTGAGAAGCGTTGTATAGGCTAAACACTTGCAAAGAAATTTGTGCCACTTGTTCATGCAGTGGCTTACGACAATGAGGAATTATGCCTGGTCGGTATGCACTACAGTTATTAGGTGATCAAAAACATGAAAGATGTTATATGAGGCAATTGTAATGGAAATGTGAAGAAAAAAAGTGGATGAAAAGAACTGAATGTGGGCAGGGACCGAACCTGCGAGCTTCAAATAACACGTCCGATGCTCTACAATCTGAGCTACCGTGGCGGCTACCCCTCATCCACTTCAGTCTGAATATATTTCACATTTACAATGTGAACATAAAGCACAGGCCGAAGGGCAACAGACGGCACGAGTGCCGACTAACAAAACGAATTAAACACTTGCTAAGTCACTGCTCGCGCCGTCGTACACCTCCGGTCTTCGTCCAGTGCTTTACGTTCCTTCTGTTGCTACCTATACTATTCACCAACTTGCCAGCAAGCTTCACAACTGAAATTAAAAACACTGTACATCTTTGCTAAATACACAAAAACGCGAAGCTGATCGCACAAAGCGGAGAAAGAGTTACGAGATGAAACATGGTCATCTGCATATTTCCAGCTTAAAGCTACAAGGTCCCAATTACTAAAAATAAGAAATAAAAAAAGCTTGACAAAATCTTGCTCTCAGGCCAAAGTACACATCCAAAACTATGAGTAATTTTTTACCTGCATAGCACCTGTTCTTTTAGATGAACTAAACATGAATTTCCTAGTAGTTTTTAGCCAAGAATGCTAATGGCTATTTCTCCTATCATGTTTTACAGTAGTTACTATCAAAGTTAAGCACTTGAAGCTTCTTGTCAATAAAGTAAGTGGCTGTGTGTAATTGATTACTCCAAAAAATGAATTTAAAAATGTTACCAGGTCTAAGAAGTAATCTGCCCCCGAGCTTGGCCTTATTTTGCAGCCACTCGGGGACTTCTTGCTGACTCTGCAAACAAACACCGCAAGCCATGAAGAGATTTGCAGAAGAGTGACTGCAATTACAAAGATTTTGGCACCTACAAGTCTGGCTCGATCAAAGCCTTCGGGATTGTTTAGTACTACACTCAAACGTCATTATAACAAAGCTGCGTCCCGCAAAAAAATGTATACAAGTTCGTTATATTCGAAAATTCCTTACACAGCTTATTGGAAGTACTATTACAAGGCTATTTTCTTTTACTTCGTTACAACCGAGATTTCGTTAATTCCTTGTTAATTAAATTGAGCTTTGAATTTTATCCAGGACAGACACATCATAAGTTCCATAATATCACACCTTTGTATCTATAGTATGCACACACTATAGTCTGTGCAGACTCTTGCAAAAGTGCCATTACAGTGAGCAGTGCAATAGACATAACATACGGCTGCAGTATGGATTAAATGTAGACAGCACTGCTGCCATTACAGGCTGCTTCCTAAATTCTAGTTAAATGCATGATTAATAGAAGGCACTATTACATAGCTCCTGGAGCAGTTCTGCCACATTTATTGCCATGAATATACACTCGCATGAATGCATGCTTATTAATAAAATTCGAGAAATCAACCTGATGCTTTTGTTTTCTTGAACCCAAGTCTCAGTTTCCCAAGTCCTGAAACAGTAACCTAAGCACCGAAGCAATCTAGGCATTGCATCATGCGGACTGCTTTTAGAAGAGTGCTTGAGTGTGTTCTTTTGGATACCCGATCTTCATGTTGTTACAAACTTCCCGGGACAACATCCTAACTGTACATTAAGCCTAATCAGCATTTGTTCCTTTTGGGTAGCAGTCGGGTGTGCCCAATGTTGCAGTTCTGTAGAGAATAAACATAGTTCTTTGTGGTGGATCTACTCGAGAGAAACGGGGCATGGGTGCCATATTCTTCCACTGCATGGTCTCCGGCTTGTTTCTTGCCTACTTTGGCATTAAAGTCGCCCATCAGAATAGTGTACTGGGACTTTATTATTGACTGACTCTACGGCTTCATGGAAGCGTTGAACCATTACATTTCATTGAACACCCTCTATTTCCTTGAATAGGGCAGCTAGACTAGCCTCACTAGATACCAATCTAGCGTTGAAGGTAGCCAACTTCAAATTCTAATGGCGGCTTGTCCGGACCCACACATTTTGAGCAGCCTCCGCTGCTTCGCAGGTTAGACGTCCGCCTTGCGCAGTTGCTTGGCAACTGCTGGTGACTGGCGGACAAAAGTTAAATGCTGTAGTCATGGGAGGTAGTCTCCAAGTAGTCCACCAGGGTGGCCGATCCTGCTCTAGTAAAGCAGTGCATTACTGGCAGGTGGTTGCCAGTGAGGCCGCACCCCAGACATCTTGTTTTTTTTAAACAATTCCTTTATCATGCATTTTAAATATACGATAGGGAATGGTCTGCAATCCGCTTCCAAACCGAATTTTGTCATTCCATGGCTGCTGCGCTATCTCTAAGTAGGGGGTTCTGTTGCACTTTCTTAGCACTGTAGAATACCACCCGACTGCCTATGAACTCAACGTAACCTGACTCATAGCTCGTCTTTTCTCAAATGTTTGAAAGTTCATTAAAAAAAAAGGAAAAAAAACACTACGCGTGCTTTCGAACCTCTGACCTTGGGAGCTGAGGCCGGCTTAGTGCCTTGGATGAACCTCCTTCCAATGTGTTTATTCTCTCCTAACTTCTTCCGTCTCGCACAAATTTGACATTGTTGAGTTCAAGGTGTCCACAATGTCGGTGTTTTGCCGATTCCGAGTGGTCGCACTCCTACTTTAACTTTTCTTATGAACTGGCGAGTTGCGCGCACCTGTTTTGCGAACCAATCGACTACTTCTACGAGATTGTTAATTTGAAGCGTACACGTCGCTGGTGGTTTGAGTGCATGAAAACGAAACTTGTAAGGTTTCAAACTGCTAAAGAATGGATAGCCGTTGCCTTTAGGGCTGTATCCTACTTTTTTGGCATTTCGAGTAGTACTTAACGGTCTCGTAATAAATTATAGAGAAGCAGACTGTGGCCCTCAAACGGGAGTCAGATATGCGTACTAGCAATTACGTCGACGGTTAGCCTAATAATGTAAAATGGTGGAAGAAAAGGTAACGAGCAAATTATTTTTAGTTATAGAAAGTGATGAAAGGTAAGAAACTACGTACAAAAGTAATGACTCCCGACAAACTTCAATTGCTGTGTTGCGCAGACTTACCTTTACGTGCGAGCAGGGTGCCAAGAGTCTTCAAGGTCTAGAAATTCAAAGAAAGTATAGAGAATGTTATACGAGGTAATTGTTATACGAGAATCACAGTCATTGCAGACAACTTCAATACTTTGTTTTACAATTACTCTTATGTACAATCTACTTGGATTTGCACAGGTCTTCAAAGTTGTAACCACACAGCTAGGCAACACAAATGACTACAACATTAACGAGATCTGACAGACAATCATGTCAAAGAAAGTATCATCATCATCATCAGCCTGGTTACACCCACTAAAGGGCAAAGAACTGTTTCATGATTCACCAATCCACTCATTCCCGTGCTTTCTGTTGCCACGTTATACCTCCGTTGTCAATATCACCAGCCGACCTAACTTTGTCTCCCCTTCGTGCATTTGCCTTCTTTGGGAATCCAATCAGTTACCCTTAACGACCAGCGGTTATCCTACCTATGTATGTGCTATGTGCCCGGCCCATGTCCCTATTTCTTCTTGATTTCAACTATGATATCTTCAACCCCCGTTTATTCCCTGACCCACTCTTCACTCTTCATGTCTCTTCACGTTACACCTATCATTTTCCTTTCCACCCCTCACCCCATCGTCCTCAATTCAACCTTTTGTAAGCCTCCACAGTTTCTGCTTTGTCAGTAGGTACTGGTAGAATGCAGCCGTTATATGCCTTCTTGTTGAGGGTTAGTGGCAGATTACCATTCCTAATTTCAGAATGCTTGCCTAATGTGATTCGGCCCCTACTGATTTCTTTATTTATTTCACTCTCATCGTTCGGCTGCGCGATTACTACCCGTCTTAACATTCCTTTACAACCCTCCAGCATCTCTCCGCCTATAGCACAGAGTTCTTTTCTGCAGAGAATGAAGCACATTATTTTTGTATTGTGCATATTCATTTTCCGATCTACCCTTCTGCTTTCTGTGTCCATTTCTGAAATCATGAGCTGTAATTCGTCCCCCGAGTCACTCATCAAAACAATGTCATCAGAGAATTGCAGTTTACTAAGATACTCTCCATTAACTCCTATCCCCACCTCTTCTATACTAGGGTCTTTTCAACCTCCTGTAAACATTCGGTGAATAGCATTGGAGAGATCGTGTCTTTCAGCTTTACAACCTTCTTTATTGGGATTCTGTTGCTTTCTTCAGTAAGAACTATTGCGACTGTGGATCCATTGTAGATTTATTCCAATATGCTTATATAAGGTTCTTCGACGCCCCAATTCCCACCACAGTTTCAAGCTACCGATCCTGCTTAGTCCTTTTGATGATTGAAATCTAATGACCCCTTAATTCTGTTGGCTATTATATTTGTAGATGGTTTCTAAAGAACGAACAGTAAGCTGATCGACCTGTATTTTTCCAAGTCCTTGGTGTCTCCTTTCTTATAGTGAAGATTATGTTGGAATTCTTTCAAAATTCTGGTACCCTTGCCGTCAAGAGACACTTCATATAGAAAACAATTTCTCAGCCATCTTTCAGGAGGTCCGTTACTACCTTATCCTCACCAGCGGCTTTGCCTCTTGTATTCTTTCTAGGGCTTTCCTTACTTCCCTGTCATTACTGGTAGAATGTCGAATTCTTCTGGAGTAATATTGTTCCTGACGATATCATCCTGGTTGTTTTGGCTTCTGTGCAGCTCTTTGTAGAACTCCTCTGCCACCTCGACTATTCTATCCATATGGGTTGTGACATGGCCTTTCTTGTTCCTTAATGCATACATCCGATTTAGCTTATGCACAAGTTTTTTATTGCTGCTTATAAGATGCTGCCTCTTTTGACAGCCTGCTATATTCTCTCCATGTTATACCTTCCGACGTCGGCTACCTTATGCCTATTGATTAACTTCGTAAGCTCCACTACCTCTATTTTATCGGTTGCATTTGAGGCTTTGATGGTTTGTCGTCTCTTCATTAGATTTTTCGTCTCCTGAGGTAGTTTGCCAGTGTGCAAGCTAGTGACTGTACCTCCGCCTTCCAGTATACACTGTTTGATGAGAATAGTAAGATTATTGTTTGATGACATTAGTAAGATTATCAATAACTTAACTTTGCTGAGCCCTATTACATCCTATTGAACCAGCTTTATTTCGTAGAATAGGATGGCTAGATTATCCTCACTATATAGCGATCTAGTACTGAAGGTAGCCATGTTCAGATTCCAATGGCAGCCTGTTCAGACCCAGACATTCACAGCACTCTCCGCTGCGTCGCAGGTCAGACATCAGCCCTGCGCAGTTGCTTGACAACCGCTGGTGACTGGCGGCCAAAGGTTATTTGCTGTATTCATGAGAGGTAGTGGCCAAATAGTCAACAAGGGTGGCCGATCTTGCTCTTGTAAAGCAGTGCATTACTGGCCGGTGGTCGCCAGTGAAACCGCACCCCATACATTTTGTTTTTGTTTTTAAACAATTCCTTTATCATGCATTTTAAATAAATATACGATTGGGAATTGTCCGCCATCTGCTTTCAAACCAAATTATGTCATTCCATGGGTGCCGTGCTATCTCTAAGTAAGGGGGTTCTGTTGCACTTTCCTCACACTGTAGAATACAACCTGACTGCCTAAAAACTCAACGTCACCTGACACGTAGTTCGCCTTACATGTAGCTCGTCTTTTATCAAATATTTGAAAGTTCATTGAAAAAAAAAAAAAAAAAACACTATGCGTGCTTTCAAACCTCTGACCTTGCGAGCTTAGGCTGGCTTAGTGCCTTAGATGAACCTCCTTCCAATGTAATTATTCTCTCCTAACTTCTTCTGTCTCGCACAAATTTGACATTGTTGAGTTCAAGGTGTCCACATGTCGGTGTTTTGCCGATTCCGAGTGGTCGCACTCCTACTTTGACTTTTCTTATGAACTGGCGAGACGCGCGCACCTGTTTTGCGAACCAATCGACTACTGCTACGAGATTGTTAATTTGAAGCGTACACCTCACTGGTGGTTTGAGTGCATGAAAACTAAACCTGTAAGGTTTCGAACTGCTAAAGAATGGACAGCCGTTGTCTTTAGGGCTGTATACTACTTTTTTTGGCATTTCGAGCAGTAATTAACACTCTCGTAATAAAATATAGAGATGTACACAGGGGCCCTCAGTCAGGAGTCAGATATGCGTACAAAGCAATTACGTCGACGGTTAGCCTAATATTGTAAAATGGTGAAAGAAAAGGTAACGAGCAAATTATTTTTAGTTATAGAAAGTGATGAAAGGTAAGAAACTACGTACAAAAGTCATGACTCCCCACAAACTTCAATTGCTGTGTTGCGCGGACTTTCCATATGTGCGAGCAAAGTGCCAAGGGTCTTCAAGGTCTAGAAATTCAAGGAAAGTATAGAGAATGTTATATGAAGCAATTGTAATGTAAATGTGAAAAAAAAATTGTATAAAAGATAACTTGCCATGGGCAGCTACCGAACATGCACTTTTAAATAATCCATCCGATGCTCTACAAAAACTGAGCTACCACGGCGGCTATCCCCCCATCCACTTTACTGGGTATATACAGTGAATTCAATGTGATTGATTGATTTGTGGGGTTGAAAGTCTCAAAACGACCGTATGGTTATCAGAGACCCTGTGATGGAAGGCTCCAAATATTTCGACCACCTGGGGTTCTTTTAACGTGCACCCAAATGTGGGCACACGAGACTACAGCAATGTCACCTCCATCGAAACTGCAGCCACTGCAGCCGGGCATCGATACCAGGACCTGTGGGTCAGCAGCCTAGTACCTTAGCCACTAGACCGTTGGGGCGGGGCTGAAATAAACATAGCATAGTCAGCCAGCGCCGCCTTTAGCCACGACAGTGAGTGTGAAACATTCTTTTTGTTTGTGTTTAGCCTGACGTAACAGATTCATCATCATCATCATCAGCCTGACTACGTCCACTGCAGTACAAAGGCCTCTCCCATGTTCCGCCAGTTAACCCGGTCCTGTGCTTGCTGCTGCCAATTTATACCCACAAGCAGTGTCTGCATGACGGCTGATATTTCTACTGAATCAAACGCCTTCTCGTAATCTATGAAGGCTATGTATAGTGGTTGGTTATACTCTGGGCATTTCTCTATTACCTGATTGATAGTATGAATGTGGTCAATTGTTGAGTAGCCTGTTCGAAATCCTGCTTGTTCCTTTGGTTGATTGAATTCTAATGTTTTCTTTACTCTGTTAGCATTTACCTTTGTATATAGCTTGTATACTACAGAGAGCAAGCTGATCGGCCTGTAATTCTTCAAGTCCTTGTCATCTCCTTTCTTATGTATTAAGATGATGTTAGCGTTCTTCCAAGACTGGTACCCTTCCCGTCAGAAGACACCTCGTAAACAGGGTGGCTAGTTTATCTAACACAGTCTGTCCTCCATCTTTCAGCAGATCTGATGTTACCTGATCCTCACCAACAGCTTTGCCTCTTTGCATGCTCTCCAAAGCTTTTCTGACTTCTTCTATCATTACTGGTGGGGTGTCATCTGGGTTACTGCTAGTTCTTATAGTATTAAGGTCGTGGTTGTCTCGGCTACTGTACAGATCTCTGTAAAACTCCTCCGCTATTTTAACTATCCTATCCATATAGGTAGTTATTTTGCCTTCTTTGTCCCTTAGTACATACATCCGACTTTTGCCTATCCCAAGTTTCCTCTTCACTCCTTTGACGCTTCCTCCGTTTTGCAGAGCGTGTTCAATTCTCTCCATGTTATACCTTCTTACATCGCATACCTTACGTCTATTAATCAACTTCGAAAGCTCTGCCAGTTCTATTTTGTCTGTTGTGCTTGACACTTTCATGATTTGACGCTTCTTAATCAGGTTCTTCGTTTCCTGGGAAAGCTTGCCAGTGTCCTGTCTAGCTACCCTGCCTCCAACTTCCACTGCACACTCCGTAATGATACTCGTCAGATTATCATTCATTGTATCTACGCTAAGGTTGGTTTCCTCACTAAGAGCCGAGTACCTGTTTTGCAGCGACACTCTGAATTCCTGTACTTTCCCTCACAGTGATAGCTCATTGATTGGC